GAAATGCCAAGTGAAGCCAAGTCCTTCTCCACCTGGTCTTTCCAACGCAGAGGAGGCCTTCCTCTTCCTCTGTTACCAGCATCGCGGCCCGCGTTGAATATTTTCAGAGCAGGAGCGTATCTGTCCATTCGAACGACAGGGCCAAGCCAGCGGAGCCGCTGAATTTTAATTCGCTGCACTATGTCTATATCGTTGTAAAGCTCATACAGCTCGTCGTTAAATTGTCTGCGATATTCTCCATCACCAACGCGTACAGGTCCGTAAATCTTTCGCAGAATCTTTCTCTCGAAAACTTCAAGAGCCACTTCATCATATGCTTTCATTGTCCATGCCTCCGCGCCATACACCAGCACAGGCATGATGAGTGACTTATAGAGTGTGATCTTTGTACGACGAGAGAGGGCTTTACTTCTCATTTGCTTACTCAGCCCAAAGTATCACTTGTTGGCAAAAGTGATTCTCCGTTGGATTTCAAGGCTGACATTATTATTGGTGTTAATGCTGGTTCCCAAATAAACGAAGTCGTCTACTATTTCAAACTTGTAAGTGTCAACAGTGACGTGGGTGCCAAGACGCGTATGCTCTGACTGTTTGTGTGATGACAGGAGATACTTCGTTTTGTGCTCGTTCACCACAAGACCCATTCGCTTTGCTTCTCTATCCAGTCCCGAGAAGGCAGAACAGACGTAGCTCTTGTTTTTACCAATAATATCGATGTCGCCGGCATACGCCAGCAATTGTACGCTCTTGTAAAGTATTGTGGCTGAGCGGTTCAGTTCTGCGGCTCTTATTATCTTCTCCAACATCAGATTAAAGAAATCACACGAAAGGGAGTCCCCTTGTCTGAAACCTCGTTTGGTATCAAATGGCTCGGAGAGGTCCTTCCCTATTCTGACGGAGCTGGTGGTATTGCTCAACCGTATTAGTTTCGCGGGGATAACAAATTCAGACGTCGCGCAGAAAGGAAACTTCTCTTCGTGCTGTCGAAAGCGGCTTTGAAATCTACAAATAGATGGTGTGTGTCGATCCTATTCTCGCGGGTCTTTTCCAAGATTTGGCGTATTGTGAATACCTGATCTATAGTGGATTTTCCAGGCCTAAAGCCACACTGATAAGGTCCAATCAGTTCGTTGACGGTGGGCTTCTGTCTTTCGCACAATACACTCGATAAGACCTTATAAACTATGCATAGAAGGCTGATTCCGCGGTAGTTGGGGCGTATGGCGGGGTCGCCTTTCTTGTGGATTGGATAGAGCACACTTAAATTCCAGTCGTCGGGCATGCGTTCATCTGACCATATTCTGCATACGAGCTGATGCATGCACCTCATCAGCTCCTCGCCGCCGTACTTGAATAGCTCGGCTGGCAGGCCGTCAGCTCCAGCAGCTTTCTTGTTTTTGAGCCGCGTAATCGCTATTCGTACCTCGTCATAGTCAGGCGGTGGGACAGCTACTCCATCATCATCGACTGAGGATCGGGTTCGTCTTCTTCACTACTTTCGGGCGTTCTTCCTGTCGGCCAGCATCTCAAGCTCTTCGCACTCACGTATTTCGGCCTCTCTCTTCTTATTGCGGCAAATACGTCTCGCTTCCTTCTTCAGTTCCCTATAACGATCCCACATGGCTCGCGTTGCGCCCGATCTCAGCACGGCCCTATAGGCGGCGTATTTTTTCTCTGCGGCTGCTTGAAATTCCTCATCGTACCAGTTGTTTTTCCGGGTTCGCTGAAATCCAACTACTTATTCGGCGGCGGTACTTAATGATCGGGAAATGGGGTTCGACTGCTCGCGTATGTCGGATTGTTGAAGAGTGCTCTCAGAGAGCAGGTGTGTTAGTTGAGTGGCGAATAAATTGGCCTAGGCGGATGCGTATCTTGGCTACAACAAGATAGTGTTCCGAGTCGATGTTTGGCCCTCGGAGTGTACGTACGTCTAAAACGCTTGAAGCATGCCTTCCATCTATCACAACATGATCGACTTGGTTTCTCGTTTTTGGATCTGGAGACAGCCATGTAGCTTGGTGGATGTTCTTATGCTGGAACCTAGTACTACATATTACCATGTTTCGGGCCCCGGTGAAGTCGATCAGCCTCAGTCCGTTATCGGATGTTTCGTCGTGGAGGCGGAATTTTCCGACTGTCAAATATCCCTTCCTTGCCCACCTTGGCATTAAAGTCATTAAAGTCGAAGTTATAGCAGCTATTTCGGGAGATCACCACATCTCCTCATCAGACTTCTTTTTTTCCAGACTTCAGCAGGGATCGAACCTGCGTAATCGATGTTCAAAGTCAGAAGCGTTAACCCCTGACCTATGTACATCCCGTAAACGCTTGTTGCTTAAAAATAAAAAATATTAAAAATAAAATATTAATAAGCCACAATAACATTGACAATAAAGAATATCATTTGCGCAAAGAAAAATTTGTAAAGAGCTGTTGGGGAAATAATTCGTCTTTTTCATAAGAGGATACCGAAAATCCAATCGCGTGCCTTTGGCATATCATGAAGACCCTGCTAGCAAATATGCTTGTGTCGAATTGAGTTCTAGAGGTTGCTTGGGGAAGTGTTATCAAAGCAGAACCATTGCCGAATTTAATAAATTTCATGTCGCAGCGCGTAAACGATTTTTAGAAAGCGAAGAAGACTCTGCATGATATTATCATAAAACATATTTTCTGAATTTTTTAGTCCTTAAAATAATATCTCCTTAAATTACTACAACCAAAGTTATGTAAATATTAATAATTTTCCTTTAAAACTAACCAAAATATAAAAAAAACAAGAAAATGCATGTTTCTTTTAATTGGCTAGATTTCAATGTCCGCAACTGTATATTGAAAATACAAACGTCATTTGACTTATGGCATGTGAATTTGTGGTTGCCACACCCAACAAAGTGTATTTAGTGATCAATATTATTGAAGATTTAAGGAAGATTTAACTTAAATCTACTGCCTTTTGAGATTTAATTTTATATGGTAAATCTCAAAATATTTAACGTTAAATCTCGCCAGAGGGCTAAATCTTCATTAAATCTCACAATGGAGACATAGTATTATAAATAAAAGAGACTTAAAGTGAAAGTACATACCATCCATTGCGTCACCGTGACCGTCACCGTCACCATCACCGTTAACGATGCTTATGCGCCAAGTTACACACCATCCGTTTAACGCTGCGTCCGAAAACGCATGAACTCGCTGCTAATCTTTGCAAAATTTGCGTTTTACTTTTGCAATTCTTCTATAGGTATTCCTCCATAATTTTTTAAATTTCGTTTTTCCATAAATCTAAAAATTTTTAAAAACTGAAAAACTTTACGTTCAAACATGTAAACAAAACAGAGAATAGTTGTCACTTAACGCAAATGCATAAGCAAAGTTGAAAGTGGAGCTAATTTGTGTCTCACCGACTCTATCAGCTTTCCATTCAACTTTTTTGACAACTGTGGTGACGGAGACGGCGACGCAATGCACGTTATGTACTTTCACTTTAATGCTTTGGCTTGATACATTTCTGAACGCACCCCACATTTTATTATTGCTCATGCTACGATATTTTATTATATAATGTAGACGAATGTAATTAATGCAACTGGTTTATATAAGTCCGCCATGGCAGGCACCCTTAAATCTATGAGTGTACAAACACTCCACATATGGTTAGCAGTCGCCATGGTGACGGGTTTTTGTTTGTTTACTATTCGCGTTTTCAGGTTGTGTGGACATGTACCCTGCAGTGAAACCCCAAACTAGTCAGGAAAAATACTAATTTACAACTAGAATTTCCTTACTGAAACCGAACTACTACTTCGAAAATGACCAGACTTGTACCAAGTATAAAACGATTTATTCGTGCCCTGTTTTATTTGACTTCGACAGTGTAATACAATAAAGTACACAAAATATTATAACTTTTATTTGGGTATATTGTAAACCATTAAAGTGAGTACGTATTCAATTATACCAGACCTGTTAAATAATGATTAATATTCATAAAAATTATTAATTAGGGCATGTTCTTTTGGATATCCGTTTAATGATTAAATATCCATATTACTTAACAAAAAAAAATTTAATTAATTCATTAATTTTTAATAAAATCATTATTTTGTTAATTTTGATCATTTTCAATTATTTTTGACTTGTTTTAATAACATGATTATAATTATTTGATTAATTTCTATTATTAATCATCAAGGCAAACTATAGACAAAAATTAAGAATATTTAATAACTGCTTGAATTATTTATTTATTGTATTTTTATCCATATCTCAAATTTTAAACATTAATTATTACTTTTGTAAAATTTTAAGAAGAAAAGACTGAAATGTGCAAATTTAATGAATTTAATTTATTTGAATGAAAACTTTTTTTTATTTCAGTTTACTCAAAAATGAACTAAGGTATTCATTTTATTTTTAACTAAAATGTTTTCTATTGCATTTCAATATTATTAAAAAAGAAAAAATATAGTACTTATTGTACCTGAAACCTTTTACTTTTAATAAAATGTATTTAAATTTATGTCCGAAAGTTTGAAATATTTATGAATTTATTTTTCCTTTTAATTAATATTCAAAAATTTAACACTAATTATTGGCAAATCTAAGGCTGCTAAATAAAAATGTGTAATATATTAAAGTGTACTAATTCAAAAGTGTTTTATTGTATATTCATGAATTCATTTTATTTTTTGACTCCCAAAGTAGTGGTTTTAGTCCATAATTGAACTAGTATTTTTCTGTCAATTTTGAACTAGCATGAGACTGGTATATTTCTGACCGAAATCTGACACTTGCCATCTCGTAGGACATTCCTATGTTAAAAATACCAGTTGATTGCAAGGAAAAAAGACAGTTGGCTGACTAGTTGGGCATGTGGTTCATATTAGTTGTGAGGTAAGTTGTTTACAACTAGTACATTTGACTACAGGGTACTGTTGTCACTGAATGAAAAAAGAATATATATATATTTGAACATTTATTGAAAATTTGGTTTGCCAAGATGACGACGGCACAAAATGAAAGTGGGCGAAAGCACGTTATTATTACAGACTTGGATCTATCTGACTGCCACCAACAAATGGAAACAAAATATTCGCAGGATCTTAATCGCAAAGCTCACAAAAAACGACATGCACAAAAACAACTCCATACCATTTCGGGTAATTTTAGCCGTCGTTCTCGGTCAGCAGAGCATCGCTCGGAAGACCACAATGCCAGCCGTGTCAACAGTTACTTCAATGAATTGGTAGCTTATATGAAATACACAAGAGGCCCGTATTTGAAAAATATTTTAATTGTTTTTCTTTCAAGCTTCAATCTAAGGATAAGCAAATGGATACATTGCTTCAACGATTAGCAACCTTGCATAAATTCAATGAACAGTTTGATGCCCAAAACAAAGAACTGCGATTGCACGTACATAATCTTGAAGAGCGCATAGATTCCCTACAGCACGAAATCGCTAATTGTGGCCGTTGTCAGGAGTTAAGTCAACAACTATCCAAATGTTCGACTGAAAAGCAAACTCTTATATCGGATGTAGCTATGATGAAGACTCTGGTTTATCGTCTTAATGTACAAATTGAAAGATATCAGGATCGTTTGCGTGTGTCTAAAAACGGAATGCCTATTGTCACAAATATGAAAAGTAATTCCGATAAAAATGGTACTGGTGACGTGCCCAATCAGAATTTTTCCATTACAGCCTGGGAGGAATGCGCTTTACATACACATACACTTTCTCCATTACTTCAGTCATATGACGAAATGATACGTGACAAAGAACAGTTAATACAACAGTATATGGAAGAATTTGAACACTTCACTGGAGAGCTTAAACGCACCCTAGAAGAAAATAATAGCTTATTGCAGCAAAACGAAAGTCTTCGTCGAGAGGTGGGTTCGTGGCGTGAAGAACGCACTAGATTACAAGCCAAAGCCGATGTTTGTCGGGCGAAAGCTGAAGCGCAAACAAGAAAATGTGACTTGGCCAAGGAAAAGCTTGTGGAAGTAATGCATTGCTACGAACAGAAAATGCAATCACTAGTCCTGGACATGGAGCATTTGCAATCGGCCTACACGCGCTGCAAGAACGAACTTGCATCACTAAAAAGTGTCGCGAAACAATCACCTGACAATATGGCGCACGCCTTGCAAGAATGTAAGGCCCTATCAGAAGAGCTGAAATCGGAGTATAGCAGCGAGAAAAAAATTCTAGAAAATACAATAGAAGAGCTTCGGGTGCGCCATGCGGAAGACAGTAATAAGATTGCTGAATTGAAGACGGAAAGGAAAACTTTGGAGAAGGAGCTAGAACAAATGCACGCTGCAGCAGAAGACCTCCAAATGCGCACAGCTTCTTTCCAGCGAACGGCCGAAAAAATAAAGCGGTCACGAGATCGGCTGAAAGCTCGCCTGCGAATTGCGTTGCAATGGGCTCAAAAAATTGAAGAGGGACAGGCGAATATACAAAACACTTGGGATGCTCTGAAACGCCTTGAGACAATCGTAAAGCATAAGGAGTCACAAGTGCGCGGGTTGCATGCCCGCCATTTGCAGGAAATTGATAAAATGCAAAGGAAACTATTTCAAAAAGAGGAGACCATAAGGAACATACTTAAAGGGAAACTTGGCGTCACCGAACAAGCGCAGTAGAAGGAATAAATCATTATTCATTTAACGGTGTAATGATTGTAGCGTTTCTTCCAATCAAACCATACCCACATATACGAATTAAATTAACTTAAAGTACGTTTACACAGTCAAATCTCGGAATTTAAGCTATAAATTTGTTGTGCTTGTTTTTTCTCACAACTCAGAAAGTTCGATTTCTTCTTTGTGCTACTAGACGGAGAGCTCATGACCAAAAGAATCATCATACTTCAGATCGATTGAAATTTTATGTGAGCTTAGCTTGTTAATATATAAATCCAGATCCGCAGGTCTGGCTGCTGAACAGCGGTTTTGACCATACGTTTTAGCTATTAAAGATGCCAATAAAAACCGATTACTCAATAGGGCGGGTCGAAAATCTAATTTTTCTCAAATACCTTGGTAATAGTGAAAATATATTGTATCATGAAGTCAACAACTAGCCTGCAAAATATTAGTCTTTTATTTTAATTGTAAGAGCCCGCGCATCGACCGCCAAGTGACCCACAGCACACTAGTCGAATAAGACCAATCCTTGTTAAAAATTCTGGTTTCAGCAAAAAGGTTTGGTGCATATAATTAGATAATGAATCCGTTAACGCAAAATATACAAACAAATATCATTTATCGCAGCCTTTTAGCTTATCGTTAATCTCAAAGTTATCTTTTTTCAATAAAATTGTAATTTTTCTCTTGAGAATTGCCCTGCCTATAGTCAAAAGATGTAAAGAACAGTATTAATACTGCTGGCGTGCATTTAGGTCGCTGGTTCCAAATATTCTAATCTTTGTTTAATATTAGCTATAGTTTACGAATTTTTGCAAATATAGGAACAGTTTCGGTAGCTCTAATAAAAAAGCCATTATTTTCCATCATCGTAGAAAAATTTGGTTTATGCAATTGTGTATGGAAACACTGAACAGGCACAACTTCTAGAAACACTAATTAGTTTACTTATGTTTATGCATACTATGTAAAAATTGCAAATATAGAAAAATTAAAAAAAATGTTCAAATTTTTTTTTATTTTAAAATAATTTGTTTATAATCTGAACGATTTTCATCATATTATTATCATAAATCAGTAACAGTAAGTCTCGCATTCAATTTGGTAATTACTACGTACCGATCGAGTAACATTTACCAAAGTTATATCGAAAGACTTAAGTGGATCTCCAGTTTTTTCTAACTAAATTTCTCTTCAATTGTATAAATAACTTTTAAATGGAAGAACCGGATTACAGAAAAGTGTGCCAGGGAGTGACTTTTTTCGTTGAAGCTGAATGCGAAGCAATATTCGTCCAATTAGAGAGTGCTCAAAAGGATTTCCCAGGATATGATAAAGACTATTGCATTTACCTCCAGTAACTTTTTCACATAATAGAATTACCTTAAATATTTATGGATATCTAAACACTTATTGCTGGTCCCCTACTTTCATATAAAGGCAAATTTAGAAACCGCGAAAAATGTGCTTCTTCGGTGACTAATGAAACCATTCCACACCAATTTTCAAGACAGTATAAATAGACTTAAAATGGGCGTTTCTCACTCTAATTGTATTATGTTAATGTTTGTAAATACTTATATGCTTGAAACTACTATTAACTTATCACACGATTCCTAATCTTTGACAATACATGTTTGACTTCATTCACCACGATCTTGAAAACTGACCAAATCGGCGTGACCAGACTCATGGCCCTCTTAATATTAAATAAACAACCGAAGACATTAAAACGTTTGAAATAAATCGCGTCTCACTTTTTTGCATTTTTCACTTGGTGGCTGAAGTAATGAAGGAAGGTAAGGGAAAATTATAGTTTTTGTAAGTTTTATCTTAATATCTTAAAAACTTGTAGAGATATTGAAAACTGATAAATGAACGTGAGGTACTAAATTTAATAACCCTTAATTTGATATATCGTCCTGTTTATAACAATTGACGCATTTCATAGATATTTCAAGCCAAAGTTTCATTTTCAAAATTCATACATTTTGATTGAATTGCGCGGGCTAAAGATAAGTTGTAAATTAATCTTTCGTGACCAATAACAATTGGCTTAGATATAAGACATCACATAATTACTATTACAATACTGTCAAATGCATTTTATTTTCCCCCATACAAAATCGACCCAGCCAATTACTCAACATACTTCAGATCACTTGAAATTTTCAGCCGCGCTCCCATTTCCACTTATTTTTGCGATTTGCGTTTTTGTAAAAAATGTACGTTTTTATTTTTGGGTGCTCCTGAATTCGCAACTTTTTGTTATCGATAAGTTCCATTTTCCAAATCGTTTCCAGCATTTAAAAGCCATCCCTTGAAGGTATGCAACAATTATGGCACATGTGTCGTCCACACCAAACCGTAAATCTTCGTTGCTTCGATAAATTTTCGTTGCCCAAAACCGAGGTGTGTATAATAAATAGTGAATTTAACAAATAAAATCAACATAAAAAGTTAATTTTAGGACGCCAAAAATATTGCAAAATATAATGGGCATAATCAAAAATAAACTTAAACTAAGCTAGCTTGTTATTTATGTTAATTTTGCCATTTATTTTTATTCCACCGTCTCATCGGCAACCGATTTGAAACCGCAAAAATTTTCCGATTTGCGAATATTGGAGCACGTAATTTTGCGCTTTGAAAAGTAAAACACAAAATAGTTGCGATTCTGAAAATGGGAGCACGGCTGTTTGATAGAATTTTATTTACACTGTATGGAAAATGAATTCAAGGTTGCCTGCCCATTCTTATGGTCTTAAAGTATTGCCAGACCATGTTGAAAGTGCATTGTTGCAAATATAGGTCAACATACTTCAGATGGGCTGTCCTTTTAACAGCACATGAATAATATTATAAGTAGATGAAATTTCTACAGCCAGCCTCTTCTGATGGTCTTAAAGTACTGCCAACCCATGTTGAAAGTGCATTGTTGCAAGTATAAGTCAACATACTTCAGATGACTTGAAATTTTGAAAGAATTGTATTTACATTGTATATAAAAGGAATTCAAGAATGCTTCCCAATTCTTGTGGTCTTAAAATACTGCCAGCCCATATTGAAAATGCGTTGTTGCAATTGCAAGGAGACTTGGGATCGGTATGGAGTTTTGTTATTGTATTTAAATGCATTATTACCAAACTCGCATTTAAAACTGAACGGCAAAAGACATGCACTTTATTATTGGACTGTTAACGTTTAAACGCTGCCGTTGATCCGGATTAACTCGGACTTAATCCGGATCAGCTGCAGTTAATTCCCGAGTTGATCCGGATCAACGCTGCCGTCTGTTTATGCTTTTAGTCTGTATGCCTAAATTACTCGCATGCCATAGCGTATGCGTTATCTATCAACATCAACATTTTCTCCGGTTAAAAGATAAATTTCAAATCACTGTAATATTTCCTAATTATTAACTTATTTTTACGCCAGCTAGGAAAAATGCATCGCTTACTAAAATGTTTAATTTAAAGTTGTGTTTAATTGGGTACAAATTGAGTTATTTGAACTTAGTAGGTTAATGAGACATTCTAGGGTAAAAGGATCTGAGAAAGATGTACAGCACTCAAAATTCTCTTTTTAACCATTTATCGAGCTTTCAACGATATATCACACTTTGGATTCGGGTATTTGGCTGTTTTAGGACTCACCGAGGACGACAATTTTATGACCCTAAAATCCTCACAAAGTAAGCTTTCAAACTAGGGAGGTAATTGCAAAGTGTTTTCTATCGCTTATACTTGCAGCAATGCACTTTCAACGTGGGCTGGCTGACTTTAGACCATCAGAATGGGCTGGCAGTAGAAATTTCATTTATTTATAATATTACTAATGTGCTGTCAAAGGGGCAGCTCATTTGAAGTGAGTTGACTAATAGTTGCAACCAATGCCGTATTTAGGCACTAACAATACAGTGCAAAATCTTTCTATTCTCTGAAAAAATAGCATCAAATGTTAACTACTATTGCAAAAGTCGCACAAAAGTTTAGGTTTAGTTCGTCTAAAAGTTATTGCAAATATCAATTTTGAGTGAATAATCTTCAGTAGTTAGTAAAATATCGCAGTTTTCGTATTTCTGAAAATTACCGTTATATGGGAGGTAGGCGTGGTTATTGTCCGATTTTTCCCATTTTCAATACCGTCCGTCCTACGCCCGAAAGAAGTACACGTACCAAGTTTCGTTAAGATATCTCAATTTTTACTCGAGTTATCGTGTGCACAGACGGACGGACGGACGGACGGACGGACAGACAGTCACCGCTTAATCGATTTCTCTTTTCATTCTGGTCATTTATGTATACATTTGTCTTTATCTATCTCAATTCGTTTTGCCTGTTACAAACAACCGTTATGCGAACAAAGTTATAATGCCCTTGTGCACAAGTGCGCTCGGGTATAAAAATAGCTGATGACATGATGCTTAATGTAATTCACATTAACAAAAGAATTGTTTGTGGTGCTTTTAGAGTTGCAATTGACAAAATAAACCTATTTAAATGTATAATAAGAGGCAAAATGCTAGTTCTCTAAGAAAATTGCATCGGAAAATAACAACATAAAACTATCAAATTCTTGCTGGTTTTGCGTTTTCGTTGTTTCTTGCATATTTCACTCATTGGGAGTAAATATTGGCTTACTCTCCGAAATTTGGTTACTGGAAAGCTACTGGATATTTTTTGCTGGAGAATTCAAAAACACAACTAATATCATTGGAAGACTGATTTATTTTAAATCTTCAATGGCCGAACTTTGTTATAAGGGATTTGATTACCAAGGCCCTTTTGGGATTCATTAGGGAAGCCGAAGGTATCTGCCACACCGGGTTAGGGACTCTCTCTTTAAGAGATAGAAAAGTTCAGGTCGCGGCGTCGCTTGTTCTGTTACACCCAGAAAAAAAAATAACTAACTGACTAATTGTTCGCTTCAAAAATGGTTAGATTTCGGTGCGTTTCAGCAGCGACTGACTGGTGGTCACTCAAATTCCTTGCGCTATTTCATGTGGCACCCAAAAATGGAGCTTCTGTGAATGCCCTGCTTTGTTATATTATGATAACAAATTGTAATGTGGTTGATGCTTGGTACCTTCGCTATTTACTGACTGCCGACCAAAGCAAGAAGCATTTTTAACATATTTATTTATTTATTTATTTATTTACAACAATTTATGCAATAGTAAATTACAGTATAAATTAAAAAAGCGACACTAGCTACGAGGCTTCAGTCGTCCTTTTTAGTACGAAAGTTGGTAAGTTACTTTAGTTTTGTAAATTCAGTGGGATAAAATAAAATATAAAATTACCTATATGTATATATAATACGCGATTTTTTGTCCAAGATAAAAGAGATGTCAAACTAAAGCGCAAACTAGTTTTAGATGTGCAAACTGGTTTTAGTTTTTATAAAAGAGTTGCCCC